AGGGAAATCTGTCTCAAACCGTTTGTGCATCGTCTTGAAATGCCGCTCCAAGTTACACTTTTTGGGTAAGGCAACGCTCGAATTACAGATGAGGCAAATGGACTTCGAATTAGAATAAACAAAAAAATACTCCTCCTCCCACTCTGTGTGAAAATAATAAGTTTTCGTTTGCTTGTTCGCTAGTTTTCCATCCATGTTTTCTGCGCACCGACATTAACTACTGAGCCTAAAGTCTCGTGAGAGCACTGTGTCACCACACCCAAAACTCGCGAGACTATGTCTGTGAGAATACAAGTCAAGGCTTCGCTTCGCGGGCGACTGGGAACCAGCTCGCAGGCGACTGGTTGGGCACACCTGATATACATGGTGGCTGGACAAAGTCTTAGAGATCCTGTGAGGAGCTCAGTGTGAAGCTGCTGCTCCTCAAAAGAAGTCAGCCGAGGTGGTTCAGACATGATGCCTGAGAAGAGAAGGATGTTTGAGTTTCGCTCCTGGACTTGTTACAATTACAACTTGACCTGGAATTAACTAAATGGATTAATTGTTTGACCAAAAATGCTAAAATACCCATACCAGTTTCCTCACAGTTATTGATCATTTCAGCACACAGTTCCACGATGACAGGATCAGTCTGAAACAAGACGTATGTAGAAATATTCTTTAAAAAAAACTGCTCTTGCTTTTGTGGCTTCTAGGACACAGTCATAATGAGCATATTAAAAACATGCTGCTACATCATTGTGTCTGAAAAGCTGCATATTATTTGGGAATCATTAAGAACTCATGCTTGATTAAGAAGCAAAATTATGTACAAAGTATTTTGGTCACACAAAAATTGACACTGTGCCTTTTTGAACTACAGTATTTCACCCCTCCCCCTCCTTTAAAGAATTAAACCTTTTTCAAAATCCCATAATGGTGTTTTGTTTTTTCCCACATTTGTCCATCCATCCATTATCTTTACCCGCTTCTTCTTTTTTGGATCGTGGAGGTCACTGGTGCCCATGTCCAGCAATGACTGTGTGAGGGGTGGGGACACCCTGGACAGGTCTCAGTCCATCACAGGGACACATAGAGACAAACGAGACAAACAACCATTCACTCTCTCATTCTCATTCTCAGAGACAATTTAGAGTTACCAATCAGCCTAACATGCAAGCGTTAAAGATATTTGATGCCATTTAAATGTTTTAGACCGTGGAACAACTGTCAAAAAAAGTGAGCAGTGAAAGACGGATTTCAAGTACGTTGTAACTACAGCTTTCCTTTTCTGCAATTAAATGAGCTCAGTCAAGATGACATGACTGAAGCTTTTTTTAAACCTCAGACAATGAAAAAGTGACGGTAACAAAACAGAAAGTGCCCTCTTCATTAGGTTGATAATTAGTGTTACATCGATCAGTGCCACAGAACAAGATGTTGACATAATTTAGTTCTATTAGTTCTAATTAGGCAAATATTGAAAATTAAAAAAATAATCCTATTTCAGAAGACACTAATCATACAGCGCGTCTGTCCTTTCAAGTTAAGAGCCTTATTAGTTTGAGAAATCTGGAATTGCATGACTGTGACCTTTATCGCTTATTTCACACTCTTCAGTGATTTGTGTTCATTTTGTCAGTTGAACTTTATGTGGCTGGTTCACTTGGAGCACACAGCACAGCAAGGATTAAGGCTACGAGGTGAAGAATGGTCACTGTGGGTGTTTTTAGTGGGTACAGGTCGGTGATTAGAGGCTGCTTTTCAGGTCATCAGGTTGTTTTCCTTGCACTCCAGTTTCTCTCCACACTTTTACAAGAAGGGCCAGACATGGTGGCTTGAGGCTTTATAGCCTTGTGTTGTTTCTTGTGTTCACTTAATCGGCAGTAGTCAATCGCAAACATACATGTCAACTGACAGTATCAATACAAACAGGTAAAAGTTTGTCAGTTGTCAACCCAGTCCTTAATTTATTTTTGAAGTAGTTTTACAGGGAAAACTCACAGCTATGTGAGGAAGTTGTTTGCATCCTTTTCACACTGCACAACTTGATCCATCTTGGTCTCCCACCAGCCACCTGCTCTTAGATCTTTGACTTTCTCACATCCACAAACAGAGAATTGAACTTGGCCCTGACCTATCCTCTTTCATCAAACAGCATGAATTGTCCCACATGGCTGTGTGTTGAGCCCACTGCTGTATTCCCAGTACACTAACAACTGTGCAACAATTCTGAAGAGCACCTGCAACTGCTGACCTTTTTATTGAGCTGCCATTGAGAGCAGTCTCACTCATGGACTCTCAGTGAAGTACACTGGGTTCTCGGCTTCAAATAAAAAAGCCTTACAGTTTGTCCTCAAGACCACAAAATATATCATTGGTTGCCCCCTGCCTTCCCTGGATGACGTCACCAGTTTACGCTTTTGTTGCAGTCACAAGCATCACAATGGACTCCATGCACATGCACACCATTTGTTTGAGCTGTTGCTATCAGACAGAAGATATGGATCCAAGAAAACACAAAATCCTGATTCAGAAACAGTTTTCCCCACAGAAAATTGTAGTATTAAAAAATTCAAACTAGCCCAACAGTGCACTGCCCTGCTCTTGGCCTAACAGCTTGTCCCATGCTCCTTTAGATTTATCTGTTTGCATTTTACAATGTTTTTGTTTATTTATTTAAATCAAGAAATAATTATTTACCTAAACTAATAGGAAAATATAGCCAAGCTTAAGATGTTTTGGGATCATATAGCTTTAACAACATCAATACAGTAATTTAAAAACCAAAGCAATGGTATAACTTAATAACTTGAGGACACGGAGTGCCTCAGAAAGTGCGAAACCATTGTCATCACATACAAATGAATTCCAATGTTTTCTAAATGTTAAGCTTTGTAAAGCATAATTAATGCAGATCATGATTAAGTTCTTTTTATGTTTGAGCCAAAAGTTTTCAGATCATCTACACCTTCAGTATTGCTGCTGGTAATGGGCAATTGTCCAAACTGTTTTATCTTTGGAAACCTTTGATGCAAAAAAGATCCCGATCTTAACAAATAGAGCTAATACCGGTAATAATAAGTTAATTAATAATAAAAACAGCATGGATCCCCACATCACATCTTCAGATGAGTTCCTCCTTGGTTTAACTGCTGTCCTCCTAAAGTTTTGCGGGTTCCCTTCAGGTCGGAGGTCAGAAGGTCGGCAGCTGCTCTAAACATACAGAGTGGCAGAGAGCAAAACGAGGGGAGGAACAAAACTGAGAGGTGAAGCCAAAATGTTTTTGGTAACCTTCAAGTAGACAGATTAGGAATTACTGCCAGTTTGCCTGTCTCATTTGATCCATCACTGAAGTTGTTTCCTGACATTCATTTTGTGGGGTCAACCTGTCTGTTCCCTCCACAGCTCCTGATCTGCTGTAGCAGCTCGGCCCTTTGTCTTTTGATAAACTAGCTTCTTTGTGTCACCTACTACAACCTCTGCAGCTGCAGACACATTTACAGCACATTAATCTATCCATGTTCTTTTCACCAAGCACTCAACTGAATTGTAGAAATGTCTCACTACATCATTCAAGTAAAGAAAGCTATAAATGCCAGATGTCTTAGAGAAAGTAATTCTGTTTTTAGAGAGTATTCAACTACAGCTACAGAAAATCTTTATAAAACCTGCTTAACAAACCTAAAACTAAACTGAACAGTTCACTGTAAAATCTAATGATTGGGCAACTCCTTAGTAGTTGACAAACTTCACAAAATGCAAAGCACTACTGCCAGCATCAGTAAGAGTTTCCACTTGTTTCTAAGCTTTGTTGCACAGTGATGCACCAAACAGAAACGTGTTTAGGAGTTTTCCGAAGAGGAAGCCTCTGCTTTGTGTCTAAAGGGGGAAAAAAGTTCCAGTCATCTCCACAATGGACCTTCAGTACTGGCTAATCAGTTAGAGGAGAAATGCAGTTTACCTAGAAGAGTAAACATGCCGAGCCCTGGAGTATATACTAGAGCCACAGTTGTTGTGTGACCTCCTCTGCTCTTTAACAGGAGCCATGTGGCCGTGACATTGACTGATCAGCTGTGCTGTTTGCACACACACACACACGCACACACACACACTGTAGTTCATATTTCCAAATAAATGCTTTGTAGGAAGTTCAATCGTTCTGCATTAATTGGAATAAAGCGACATGTTCTCTTTAAAGTCTGAGCCTTAGCATCCGGTAACTGTCGTCTTCAGGCTGCGTTTGTGTCGTTTCCTTTCTATTTGAGATTTTTAGGATGGAAACCTTTCCACTGGGGGTTACTGGTGGTAAATGGAAAGTTACCTAGCTTTTTTATGTGACACTTTTACGTTTTCCTTTTCTTCACACCGTGTCTTCTTCAAATGTTCAACAATGTCTTAAATCCTGTGACTGACATTTATTTCACATTTATTTCTACCAGTGGTGCCCTGACAAAGATGCTTGTTTTAAAAGCTTCATAAAAGTGTTGTTTTCACTATCACTGGCACGTGGAGGGGTATTCCCCTAAATATGAGTAAATTTAAACATTTGATAGGAATATCCCGGCAGCTGGACCACACACAGGAAGAAAATCTCTCAATCCTGTGATGAAGAAATGAACACTGATGGCAGTCAGAACAGAAAAGAAAGATGGGCGGGGGGGGGGGGGGGGGGTTCTGAAGGATGTGGTACTAATAAAGATTAATATTTGGGCAGCTTAAAGGCTTCAAAGGAAAGGTCCTTAGAGACTTTGAGCTCTGGGATCAACTAAGTCCCAGCCAGGTGATATCAGCATTTGATATTTGGTCAGAAGAAAAAGGCTTGAAAGAACTTGAACTATAAAGATGGTTTTATGTTGAAAACCCACATTAAACTTTTTTTTAAAAACAAAGTGTTGGTGTGCTGTTGTGTTGCCATGAATATTATGGTGACGTTCACAACACATTCAAACCAGAAGAGTAAGAAGTAGAGACCATGGCCTGTAATTTGTCAAATATTTATTTAAAAATGTGTATTTCAGGGGACTCTTCATCACTATTCATGACCGAGGCCACATCGCTTCAATCCTCCAAAACTGGCCAGAAAAAGACATCAAGGTAAACCATATTATTTATTATTTTGACTTTTTCAGAGCTACATTAGTTTGTGAGTATAGTACAAACTAAACATGTTGGAGGCTGCCAGAATCTACATTAGACTTGAATGAAACCTACTGGATCAGAATCTACAGAAGCAGAAACTTCAACAAAGACCAACAAATCAACATTACAAATAAATCTTTACATCTGTAGATAAACAGAGAAGACTCAAAACCAGTAGAAATGAAACTGATCTTTTGGTTAAGAAAACGTATGCAGATGATGATTAACAAAAGACTAACAGTCCTTGAAGGGCTGCATGACACAACAACGATTACAGTATAATCATACATCAAACTGTAGCTCAACATCTGTACAAGAATCTGAATTGTAGCCATTTATATAAATTAATTTCAATTTTGTACATAAGTTAACTAAATGAAAGAAAGGTTTCCTAAATGTCACAAAAAAAATCAATGCATACAGTGGGGAAAATTAGTGTTTGATACACTGCCGATTTTGTCTGTTTTCCCACCTACAAAGAAAGGAGTGGTCTGTAATTTTTATCGTTGGTACACTTAACTGTGACAAATAGAATTTAAGAAAAAAATCCAGAAAATCACATTGTATTTTTAAATAAATCATTTGCATTTTGTTGCATGAAATAAGTATTTGATCACCTACCAACCAACCAGCAAGAATTCTGGCTCTCACTGTTAGTTTTCCCTTCAAGAAGCCCTCCTATTCTCATTACCTGTATTAATTGCACCCATTTGAAATAGTTACCTGTATAAACAACACCTGTCCACACTCGGTTGATCACACTCCAACCTCTCCACCATGGCCAAGACCAAAGAGCTGTCTAAGGACACCAGGGACCACCTTGTAGACCTGCACAAGGCTGGGATGGGTTACAGGACAAGAGGCAAGCAGCTCAGTGAGAAGGCAACAACTCTTGGTGCAGTTATTAGAAAATAGAAAAAACACACAATGACTCAACCTTCCTTGTCTGGGGCTCCATGCAAGAGCTCACCTCCTGGGGTAAGGGTGGTTCTGAGAAAGGTCGGGAATCAGCCCAGAATTACATGTGAGAACCTGGTCAATGACCTGAAGAGAGCTGGGACCACAGTCTCAAAGAGGACCATTAGTAACACACTATACACTGTCATGGTTTAAGATCCTGCAGGATACGCAATGTCCCTCTGCTCACTCCAGAACATGTCCAGGCCCGTTTTGAAGTTTGCCAGTAACAATCTGGATGATCCAGAGGAGGCATGGGATAAGGTCATATGGTCAGATGAGACCAAAATAAAGGTTTTTAGTATCAACTCCACTCGCCTTGTTTGGAGGAAAAAGGAGGATAAGTACAACCCCAAGAACACCGTCCCAACTGTGAAGCATGGGGGTGGAAACATCTCACTTTGAGGGTGCTTTTCTGCAAGGAGGACAGGACGACTGCACCGTATTGAAGGGAGGATGGATGGGGTCATGTATCAAGAGATTTTGTCCAACCACCTACTTCCCTCAGTAAGAACATTGAAGATGGGTTGTGGCTGGGTCTTCCAGCATGAGAATGACCCAAAACACAGTCAGGGTAACTAAGGATTGAATCCATAAGAAGCATTTCAAGGTCCTGGAGTGGCCTAGCCAGTCTCTAGACCTGAACCCAATAGAAAATTTTAGGAGGTTAGCTGAAACTCAATGTTGCCCAGTGACAACCCCAAAAACTGAAAGATCTGGAGAAGATGTGTGTGGAGGAGTGGGCCAAAATCTCTGCTGCAGTGGGTCCAAACTTGATCAAGAACTATGTCTGACCTCTGTAACTGCAAACATCCATCCATCCAAATATTCAGTTCTATTTTTCTATTATATCAAATACTTATTTCATGCAATAAAATACAAATAAATTGTTTAAAAATCCTAAAATGTGATTTTTTTTTTTTAACATTTCTTTAGATTCTGTCTCTCACAGATAATGTGATATGATAAAAATTACAGGTGGAAAACTTGTAAAATCAACATTGTATCAAATACTTATTTCCACACTGTAGACGTTGTTGAACTGTTTCTTGAATATTGTTAAAACGTGTACAGGTCAAATATAGGATGACGACATGGGGAGGTATTTCTGGCATGTAAAATCTACCTGCAGCCCGAGCCACCTGTTCAGAGCTGTCAACAGCAGGACATTTACAGTGCCTCAGCGCTACTGCTGCTCTGGGGGCTCTTATCAGAACCTCACCTTACTTTCAGCACTTTAGTGGGGAAAGGGCATATGAGAGCCAAGGCTCTCTGCTGATAAGAATTATCAGCTTCTGTAACATATTAACAAGTGACATGTTGTAAAAAACGAAAATCAAGTTGAGATTTTAATTAAAGACACTCTAAACTGGTCAGATTACGGAAAGAACAAGGCTGAGAAAGATCTGAACCAGAGGCATCTGCGTCACAGCAAAGAGGAAAAATTAAACACTAAATGTTGGAATATTTTTAGTTTCATTCTTCTGCTGCTTATATCAGGTGTTCCACAACTCATTAGTTTTGTATGATAAAACCAATCCAGTGCAGGAATTTCTAATTTAAAAAGGTTGGCAACTTGAGAGAGAAAAGTCAAGAGGGCGTAGGACAGCTTGGCTTCTACCGAGGAAAAACACGCATTCACCGTTTGTAGCTTAACGAGCTGGAAGAACAGTTTGAGAAAATACTGAACAGCTGTTTTTGTCTAAATAAATTCATTATGTTCCCATGATCACAAACCTGTAATACAAGCATATCTATAGAACTGTGATCTCTTCTAATCAAATAAAACAGACGGCTGTGTACTGTACTGACAGTGAAAATGATTGACAGGCAGTGTGTGTGACGGATGGCGAAAGGATCCTTGGACTGGGAGATCTGGGTTGCCACGGCATGGGCATCCCAGTCGGAAAGCTGGCTCTGTACACAGCCTGTGGAGGCATGTCGCCACAGCAGTGCTTACCTGTCACGCTGGATGTTGGTACAGATAATGAGGTAAGGCTTGACATCTAAATATAAGAGACTATTATAGAATACTTACAGAGCTATAAGCAGTTCATGCTTGTTGGTTTTACATCACAGCAGCCAGGCATGTTGTACTCCTACTAATCTTTGCTGTGGGTCATGTGACCTCCAGAAGAGTAGTAGGAGTAGAAGAGTACATATTCAATACAAGTCATGATAGGGAAAAACATACTACCTACTGCATGTCTAACAAGGTAAAGTCAGGTCCTCTGGACGGATTCTTTGTTGAAACATTTTGTCTTTTAACCAAAAGAGACTTCTTCAGTCTGAGGAGCTGCAACAAACTCAGTCTTATAAATAACACCTTCTCATAGTGGATCGACCAGTTGGCTGATGACAGCCAAAACTAGTTGTCCACATGCAATAGGAGGACCAGCAGCCTAACAACCGATTGTTAGTGCTCCCATGGCCGCTTGCTATTCACAGAGGGCTGAGTGATACTAGCAATAACGACATTGTAAGAGGGGGACAGATGGACACGGAGGCCTCTGCCTTGTTTAATGATGAACGGGTTGTCTTCACAAAGATGGCTTCTTTCCTTTGATAGAGAGGAACATTGGTTTGAGAGAGGAGTGAAGGAAGCCATCTTTGTGAAGAGAACCCATCCATCATTAAACTTTGTTTCCCTTACCTTGACCCTACAAGTACCTGTAGGTGCTTGCCAGACCAGCACTGTAAAAAATAATTTGTTCTTAGTGTTTATGCCTGGTTAAATAAATGTGAAATGTATCTGCAAGCTAACATAAATAGCACATCATTCTGGTCGGACTAGAATGTTAGAAATACAGTAGTCCGTCGCTACTTCGCGGTTCGTTTGACTCGCTCTATTGCACTTTTCAAAATAAGATTTGGCATGACACACAATTGTTTGATTGATGGATGATCTGCACAATCGGCATGAAATTTTTATTTAAAATAAATCATTTAAAATTTTTTAGCACCTGCGTGCAGTCCAGAGCTGCACACTTCAGGATAAACTTCCTACTGCAGCTGATCAGCTGTCCTCTGTGCAGAGCAGAGAAGTGGGCGTGGCCAAGAGCACTTGTAGGTGGCAAGGAGCAGCCGAGGCTGAGAGCTGAAATCATGACATTCAGTTTTTTAAGAGCTTTTAGGGTTTAGAAACATGGTTTGGAGTATTCCAAGAGTTGGGGTTGAACAACTACATAATTTTTAAACTCGACATTAACATAATAAAACTCGAGTAGAACTCGAGTAGTTGATGACGTCATAGGATCTTAAGATGAAAAATAAATAAAAAATAAAACCGCAAAAAAACGTAATTTATTATTTACAAAAAAAGAAGACCAACAAAACATTGGGAGCATATATTTTGCTCCTACCATTTATCATACTGCAAATAAGTCACAGGAAAAACTAAACTATTAGTTATTATTATTAAGCTGCAAAAGTGAAAGAAACGTGCAGCACGTCAAAAACGAAACTAAAAACAGTGGGGCGGACGACCACCCCGCACCACCGCAAGCTGTGGTGCACATTAGGTTTAGTTTTAGAGATTAATATGTTTATAGTTTTTTTTTTAATAGGTTTAGAGATTAATATTTTTTGCTTTTTGTTTGTGAAACAAGGTCAGAGGAAACTGGTTGTTCGGTCATTGGACCCGGTGTTACGCCATATTCTGTGACCTGCAACAGTGCAACACCTCCCCCTACGGTCACAATATACGGTGGTCACAGAATATGGTGTAACACTGGTTTGCAACGAGCTCCAAACAGTCAGGAAGTTGATTCATTTTCTGTTTCCTTACGGTAGTTGAACCGGAAGATTCATCTTTAGTGAAATATTTCCATACTATTTATGCATTTCTACCTGTTTGCCAAGACTGGGCCTGCTCCGTTCAGTCCATCTGCTGGGAGGAATCCATTTGGTAGCTTCTACTAGTAGCCCGGTGCGGATCACGTGGCACAATGACGTCACTGCGAATACGCGACGTGAAATTTAAAAACTTGATAGATGTCCTAGGAATCGACATGTCGATTACTCGAGTAATCTGTTAAAGCCCTACCAAGAGTGTGGGAAGGGTTTTTGGTCTGTGGGAGGAAACTGGAGTACCCGTAGAAAATCCACGCATGCACCCAGAAAGGCCCCTGTCCGGGATTTGAACTGGGGTGACTAGCTCGCTGAGAGGCAGCAGATCTACCAGTTGTGCCACCGTGCTACCCGCATGGGCAAACATGACACCCAAAAATATGTAAAACCATTTATCTGGTGTCAAAACCATGTGTTTTAACCACACAACTAGAGGGGCTTAATTTTTCTCGTGCTTTTATCTAAAATTGTTCAAATGTGTCATGTTTTTTTTTTCTGTCGAATGCTAAAATGCAGTGGATGCTGCCCTTGTTCCTAATTCCAAGGTCAGTCAAGAAAATCAAACACATTTAAACTTTACAAGCAGGAAACACCCTTTCCATTAATGATGTAAGCAACTCCACTGGTGGATGCCAGTTGGGAAAGCACCTCTTCCCTCTGCCAGTCTGTAGAACAGCAGCTTACAGATCTGCAGCTCAGCTTATGGTCTCAATTCTCTATGTCCCCCCTCCCTGGAGGATCTAGACTCTGGGCAGAGCAGGGTGTGTGTTTTTAGCCCCAAACAGGCTAAAAATAGACTCTGCTTCCATTCACACAGAGCTCCCAGCCTGTGTGTCCACAGCTTAGCTTCCACTGACAGAAGCTGTCCTCCACCAACCAAGACACTTTCAGATGACTCTTCTTCATTCTGTCAGTGGGCTGAGGGTGGGAGATAACAGTGGTTAGATAACTTTACACATTAGGCTCAGCAAGCTGTGCTATGCAGCAGAAAGACTGGTTGACTACTTTGAACATAAGAAACGGAGCTTTTACGGTGAAGTTAATGAATAAATAAATAAATAAGTTGATTCTGAAGTTGAAGGTTAAATGTCTGAAAACATGTGCTCATTGCCTTCTACTTTGATCTGTTTTGATCTTTGAATTTTCTGCAACAAAAATCTAAATGTTCATAAAAACTTAAACAACTTTCAGACACAGGCCTTTGTTTCATCGGTCCTAGGCTCCACCAGGTCCAGGCTCCACCAGGCCCAGACTGGCTTGTCAATGTGACTGGTATGTGTGTATGTGTGTCTTCTACTGTTCTGCTGAGCTGGCCAATATCCTTTTCACTAGCCACCAGGCCAAGCCATTGGGCTTAGCTAACAGGCCATGCTGTCAGCCCCACCATTAGCCACAAGGCTCTGCTGTCAGCTCCACCACTGGCCACTGGGCCCTGCTGTCAGCTCCACCATCAGCTACCAGGCCAAGCCACTGGCTTAGCCACCAGATCCTACTGTCAGCCACTGGACTCAACTATCGGCTCCACCAACAGCTAACAGGCCTTTGTGTTTCTACAAGCAGCCAGTCGTCTCCAGAAAATTGGTCTACATACAAGAACACTGAAAGGCAACACCTTGTTTAAAAATGCCTAGAGGAAGAACTAGTGCAAAGGATAAAGATTTGTCCACGGCCAATATGGAAGAGATTAAGAAATCTCTAAATTGTATGTCAGCTGAACTGGCAAAATTAACTTCTCAACAAGAACAACTGATTGGTTTGGTGCAGGAAGTAAAGTCACTAAAAGCTATGCTGACCAAAAAAGACAAAAAAAAAATAGACAAGCTGGAGCAAAAAGTGGATGACATGGAGCAATGTTTAAGAAGGGAGGACCTAGTTTTAACTGGTCTTGAACCTCAACATCGATCTTATGCAAGAGTTGCTGCAAATGAAGATAGCACCAAAGATGCTCCACAACAAGAACTGCAGGCTCTGGAACAACATGTGGTAAACTTTCTTCAAAGTAAAAACATAGACATTCAAAGAGACACCATATCTATCTGTCATACACTACCAAGTTAAACAGAGAAGACAAAGCCTGTAATTGTTGTAAGGTTCATAAGCAGAAAATACAGAAATAACCTCCTAATGCAGTCAAAGAAACTCAAAGGAGCCAATGTGTACATAAATGAACACTTAACAAAAAGAAATGGGGACATTGCGCGAGCAGCCAGGATGTTAAGAAAACAGAAAAAAATATTTGCAACTTGGACTAAAAATGGATTTGTATTGATAAAGGAAAAAGAGGTATCACCTGCCAAAATGATCAGAGATGAAAAGGAGCTTTAGCTGTTTGGGGGAAATCAGTGAAGCAGGATTGTACCAAACATGGATGTGAGGAAAAGGTTGCCACAATATGGACATGGCTGTGGACTCAGATTCTAAAATATATGAGGTAGACAAAGACACAGAAACAACTTCTTTTTTTGTAAACATAGATTGTGATTATTACGCAGATGAAATTTTTTAAAACAATATAAACAATGATGGGGTGTTGTCTATTATTCACTTCAACAGTCAAAGCTTATCTGCCAATTTATCAAAGATAATAAAATAGAAGTTCAGTATTATTGTGGTTTCAGAAACTTGGGTTAAGGATGATGACATGACCAAATTCCAAATAGACAGATATAATTTGTATGATATACACAGAAATAATAAGGGGGAGGAGTTGCACTGCATATCAGTACAGCCCTGAAGTGTAGAATCATTAACAATAGGACAATAGTTATTGAAGATGTAATGGAAATTATAACTGTAGAAATTGTAAATGAAAAAACTAAAAATGTGGAGATCAGCTGTGTGTATCGATCACCAGGTTCAAGTGTGAAAGTATTCACTGACAAAATGTTGGAGTTATTTGATAAAAACAGAAATGAGCAAATATTCCTTTATAGAGATTTTAATACAGACATTGGAAATCTGAAAGACCTAAATGCAAACAGTGATTTCATAAATTCAATGAGTAGTCTATATCTATTTCCACTGATTGATAAACCAACTAGAATTACATCAGAGTGCAACTATCATTGATAATATTTTTACTAATGCAATGGACAGAAAATTAGTGACTGGGGTCTAGGTAACAGATGTGAGTGACCACCTAC